AGTCTGGAGGAGAGGTTGCGAATGTTCATGTTATTTGTGGAGAAGAAAAAGACTTTTCTATGGTGTAGTTCGATCACGGTGTTGCTCCTAATCTTTGCTTTGACACATGTTTTGAGCTTCCAGTGACACCTAGAGTAATCAAAGTTTTCACTCATGTTCTCTGTCCGCCCGAAGAGAATGAAAGTTTCATACTTCACTTCTGTGCTGATGAGGGTTATGAAGACCATGTGCTACCTACGTTTACTAGAGAATTTAAAGGTCTGCGCCACTTAATGGCATTTGTTGAAAGGAAGCTAGAAGCGTTGATTGTTAGTGCACCACTACAGTCTTTGCAATTTGAGAGCTTATGAGGTATCGGCGGGCACACGACGTTAAAAATAGCGCTTCTCAGGAGGCAACCCGATACTCCTACTTACACCACTATATTACGATCTATTTTAAGTGCGAGAAAACATGCATCAAGGTCCCAAAGAAATATGGAGTTCATCTGCGAGCGGGAGGGGGGGGGGGGCTTATCAGTCTTTTGAGGGAAACAAATGGCTTGTTCCGGAAGGCCAAGGTCGTAAGAGTGAGGGATCGGTGGGACCAAGCATGAGGGAGGGGACACTTTCTCTGATTGAGAGCGGTAAGGGCTGGGTGGATTCAGATACCAATGCTCTAGAGGAGGGGACAAAGCGCAGGCGAACCTAGGAAGTGACAGATGGCAATGGGGATGACGAGGAGCAGATGGCCCTGGATGACCCAAAAACGGGGAGGAGGCGGGTTCGGTTTTCGCAACCCACCAAGATGTCTGAAGATTTTTGCTTTTGAATTTGCTTTTGCTTTGTTTGTTGTTTGGGTTTTGCTTTGTGTTTTTGTTGCAGCTCAGGGTCTTGTTGTATGGATGATGTGCCGAGGATTACATTGACTCAGTTTAGTTCTGCATCGACCAACGCCTTAGAGAAGTTTCTTTGACTCTTTTACTCGCTTGTTGAAATATTGACTTGAGTTAAGTAGAGCATGTGTGACCCTATCCTCTTTACCCCCTTGTGCATAGTGCATTTTTTGTCATCGAGGACGATGCCAAAGTTTAAGTGTAGGGGAGTGAATTGGGCATTCAGGCAGTAGTTGCTACATGTGATTAATTAGAGTTAGCATGCGCAGGTGTTAGTTGTATATTCATAAGAAATTCATGTCAAAATTTTTGAAAATTTTTCTTTAAACTGTGTCTTTGTGAACTGGCTAACGTTTTGACTATGCTTTTAAAATGTCCTTGAAGTGTTTAGGCTTAAATTGCTTGCATGATAACCTAGTTGTTGAGAGGATGAAGGCATTAGTCACCCATTGAATGAATTAACAAAATTCCCATTTGACCTGAATAAGTTCCTTTAGGATAAACCATTTTGAGCTTGACCGTTCTTTGTTTGCCCCAATTAATTGAGCTCCATAGCCAAATGGCCTGTGTTCCTTACCCGTGAATATTTCTGGCTTAGTCTTGATGTTTAGGGAATTAAGGGATTAATTTGCTAAGTTTAGGGAATTTTGTGTAGGAGCCAATTTTGGCACTGTTCCTATTCTCCAAATGGGGTAAGAGCAGTCACTTTTTAGGAATTTGATACTTTCGAGGATTGCATTGTAGGCATGGATTCACTTTTAAATTAATGAACTTTTAATTGCTATTTTTCCTTGGTGAGGCCGAGATTAGAATGGGGTAATGTCTAGTAAAAATCCGAAAGGTGAAAAATTAATATAGCTAGACCTCTTGCCTTACGAAAAAGAGAATGGGAGCCCCGGTCAAAAAGCGTAAGATGAGACTTGGGTATCTTTCGAAAGAAACGGCGTTCTCGTGCCAACATGACAAGGAAAATTAAACCTAATTAAATGAACATGGAGGATATTGCAAAATTAGCTTTAGTCCTTCGCGTACTTCAAGTGTACGTCAAAGCACAAATGTGCCGCAGCGGTTTAGCTTAATGGTACACCATGTCTACTCTTTGCATAGATTTAGATGATTGTTCCTGATTTGTGGCCTACTAAGTTCTTTAATCCTAAGAATAGCCCCGAAATTCCTGAATGCATTGAGTCTTTGTTAGGCTGTTCCAAACTCTCAAGAAAGAAACTGTTTATCCTTACCATTCACCCTTCACCACCATCTTCACAAGTCCTTTTGATCGGTAGCTAGTTTATTTGTGTGTGTTGTCACTACTTTGAGGATGTTGTGAATAATTTTGTCAAATATTTTAGCTAGAGTACAAAGATGTAGTTTAGGGAAGAATTTTCTTGGTTTAGTCTGCCTATTCTTTGAATATCTCTTTAAGTATGTGTGCATGCTAATTGTTTTGATTCCGTGTGGTGATTATCGTAAGTCCCGTTGTTCAGTTTGCTTGAGGACAAGCAAAGGTTTAAGTGTGGGGGAATCTGATAAGTCCATATTTAGACACGCATTTGATATGTGTTGGGATTGGATTTTGATGGTTTTCCCAGCTTTAAGGTGTTGCAAGTATCAATTTTAGCTCAAGTTATGTTTATCGGGCGTTGGTTCGAGTTTTGTGTTGTTTGTAGTCAAAATCAGGGAATTGAGCCCGGGTACCGGCACTTGAGGAACAATCGGGATGATTTGAGAAGCATTTGAGATTGATTTGATTGATTTGGAGGTCACCGGGAGGTTCACGATGAAGATTTGAAGGAAAAAGAGCTCTAGGATTGGCTACGGGGTCAAAAGAAGATGAATGAAGCTTGAAAACGACGATCAGGATGACCTTCTGTCAATCGTTCAAGCATATCTCTTTGTAGAAACATCCAATGTACACGATTCAAGTTCCATATGAAATCTAACTTCAAGGGCTACAAATGATATCAAGACACCTTTGCGAGAATCTGAGAGGAAGAAGGTGAAAACAGATGATGAAGTCAGATGATCTCTGCTGCGATTTCAGAAAGACACCTTCCACCGTTTTGATCATAGCTCTTGATTAGATGATTCAAATCACATTCGGCAAATTGGGTTGGATAGAAGACTTGATTATCTACAACTTTCATGAAGAATGCATAGCCAAATTTGGAAGTTAAGTAGGCACGATCGTGCCATCAAAGTCAGGCACGATCGTGCCTGAAGAGAAAAGCACCGCGAAGTTACTGCCAGCCAGGCACGATCGTGCCTGGTGGGAGGCACGATCGTGCCTGACCAAAATGCGCGTTTTTGCTCCGGAGGCACGATCGTGCCTGGCACCGTGCCTGCCTCCGAAAATCCCAATTTAGCTCAAATTTCACCCGATTTTTCTATTTAAACATCCTGTAAACCCTCGTTTTCGAGGGGGGGCTTAGAGAGAGTGCCTAGCACGAATTTTAGAGGGATTTTCAGCCTTGTTCATCAATCTTTTGGTATTCTTTGTAAGTTCCACCTTTTTAATTAATGACAATTAATTCTATTCTTCCCAATTCTATTGATTCTTCAATTATGAATTGTGAGTAGTTTAATTAGGGATTGTGATTGATGAAGGGGTTGATCATGATGTATGGCTAGTTTCTTGATGGATTAATTGCATGAATGTCGTTTAATTTGTGTTTGAATAATTTAACTGATATCTTTTGTAACCTAGAACGCGCGCTAGAATTACAATTGCTTGTAGAATAAATTAAGAGAGATCTAGTTTATTCTAGGACACCTTCACACACACTTAATCGTTCGCTAAGAGATTAGTAGCGATTAAGGGGCCGTAAGCTCGCTCGTCTTGGCAATAATTTAGGATCCTGTCGCATGAGAGATCAGTCTGGTCCCCTAAATTATTGCACTCTACGCCGCGAGAGCGGTAAGAACTTAGTAATGATTAGCTAGGCTCAATTGAATTAATTTCATGTAATAAGGCCTGATCTGCCAGAAATCTGGTTACCCCGGAATCAATCCCTGTTCCCTTCGTCATTAATTAGAGAGAACCCATTTATTTTAATCGTTTAGTTGCATTGTAATTTTTCATACCAATCATATCTCGCACGACGCATTTATTTTATTTATTTCTTTTAATCGCTGAATTTAATTAATTCTTGATTCCCTTTTGTCCGTCCCTGTGGAGATGATACTCGTACTTACACCACTATATTACGATCTATTTTAAGTGCGAGAAAACATGCATCAAGGTCCCAAAGAAATATGGAGTTCATCTGCGAGCGGGAGGGGGGGGGCTTATCAGTCTTTTGGGGGAAACAAATGGCTTGTTCTGGAAGGCCAAGGTCGGAAGAGTGAGGGATCGGTGGACCAAGCATGAGGGAGGGGACACTTTCTCTGATTGAGAGCGGTAAGGGCTGGGTGGATTCAGATACCAATGCTCTAGAGGAGGGGACAAAGTGCAGGCGAACCTAGGAAGTGGCAGATGGCAAGGGGATGACGGGGAGCAGATGGCCCTGGATGACCCAAAAACGGGGAGGAGGCGGGTTCGGTTTTCGCAACCCACCAAGATGTCTGAAGATTTTTGCTGCTGCAGGAGAGCGTTGGAGTTCGTGTGGGCTCCTATGGATCACGTTTACTTTTCATGGTTTTACTGTCATTTTGTTTTTATTTTTTGCTACGCAATGCAGTGTTTTTTTGTCATTGTTTTGTTATGTCAGACTTTCACATTAGGCGGGGGTGATGTGGGTTCTATTCTGGCCACGATAGGCTCATCTAGACCCGGTATAGGATTAACGAATCACACTGCTCTGTCCAGGGTGATTGGTTCTCAGGCTGGTCTAAGGGTTGGTGGCTGGAAGGCTTTCCTTTGTCTCTTTTATCTCTGGCTGAATGTTATTCTGTCAATATAAGCCGCCTTTTTCCAAAAAAAAAGTTTATTTTTGATTTATTTTATTTTAGTTATTTTAATATATTTTTTTTATTTCATGTTTTTAATTTTATTTTACACTTTTATTAAAAATAAAGTCAAGTTATCACTTTATATTTTAATTATTAATGAAATATGAATTGTATTAAAACAAAGCAAGGGTAGAATTGGTATGACTGTCCTATTTAGAGATTTTTAAGTTATGGCCATATTTTAACAATGAAAGTTTCATATATATTCCTATATGGAGAATTCCCAGTTTAAAAAAAAAATACTACTACATATATCAAAAATAAAGAAAAAGTTACATTGCACTCTAAGAATTGAACAATAATGGTATGAAGTGTAAAAATCTAGGACGCCCGCATAACAATTCAATAAATGGAATACTCGAATTTGGTCAGAATCCAATAGGGAACGGAAGGGACGACAATGACGGTTAGCTAGAAGCGCAGGCCGTATCCGGTGCCGGCGGACACGGCTGAATGTTGTATCGCGGCGGGGCGGGGCGGCCGCAGTGGGTTGTTCTCCGCAAGTATTTGTTCGTGAACTCCTCGACAGTCATGTCAGAAAATCCATTGAGGCCAAGCGTATAAGTTTCATTCCCGCGTTTATTGAAGGCATCAACGTACTCTTTGGTTTTCTTGAAGTTCTCGAATCGTTTCGCCTTCTCCGCCTCGTCTTTATAGGAACGCCCATGAAGGACCATCCACTCCTCAAAAAGCTTTTCTACGGGGAATTCGGCTTCCTCAGCAGGGGCAGCGACCGGAGCAGAGACGGCGGCGGCCGGAGCAGGGACGGCGGCGGCCGGAGCAGGGACGGCGGCGTCCGGAGCGGCTCTGCATCTCCACGACAGTGACAGTGACAGGACAAGAAAGAATGCCGCCTGAAAAATATATTTCAAATAATACTTATTAAGAGTCATCGGATTGGAATGGGAATTGGAAATTTGGAATGGACGGTGAGATATATGGGAATTGGTATGTATACGTGTGTGTATATATAGAGAAGTTATGAGAGTATTTGATCTGCAGTTGGATACCAAATTACAAGTAGGATTCAAGCAGGATTGGTTCCTATCTTGCTGTTTTGACCAATCACATTAGAGCATGGCGTCACGTCATATAAATAGATACTTCGTATAATAATTTCTATTTTTTCATTGATTTGATCCTTGAAAATGGTAGGGGAGAGGGGAACTGATGCAAAAAATAATTCCAGATAATTTTCTTTTCTGTGCACAATTTTGATCACAAAATTTTCACTTTATTAATCCCCGTGAAACTTAAATACTTAATTGACAAAGTTTTAAGGGACGGAGGAAGAAGGAAAAATGGTCAAATATGCCCTCGAACTTACATAAAAAGGTCAAATAAGCCCTTATATAGGAGGCTCTGTCCGGCCGTCGTCATTTGGGGCGGTTCCCGGTGGAATTTTTTGATGAAATTATTTGAGCATCTTATTCATTAAGTCTAGTTTACTCATACCAAATTTAATCTAAAACTTCAATCGGGAAGGTATTCAAAAGAATTCTTAAAGATAACTGCGCAGTTATTTTTAAAAATTCATTTGAATGCCTTCCCGATTGAATTGTTAGCCGAAATTTGGTATGAGTAACCTAGACTTAATGAATAAGTTGTTCAAAAAATTCATCAAAAAATTTCACTGGGAACCACCCCAAATGATGACGGGCGGACAGAGCGTCCTAAATAAGGGCTTATTTGACCTTTTTATGTAAGTTCGAGAGCCTATCTGACCCTTTTCCTGAGGAAGAATTATACTCCCTCCGTCCCTAATAACTTTGCCAAGTTTGACCGGCACGGGGATTAATAAAGTAAAAACTGTGTGGTTGAGGTTTGTGCAGAGGAGGGAGAATTAACTGGATCCACAAATTCTTTACTTAAAAGAGAAAGTGGCAAAGTTGATGGGACGTCTAAAAAGGGAAAGTTGGCAAAGTTATAAGGGACGGAGGGAGTATGAATATTAATTTTGTCATAAACCTTCACCTTCCAACTGATTACTACCATCACCTTCCAACTAGTACTATTCAGATGTTTTTACCTGGACTGAAATTTGTTGGTCTGGTCTGGTCCGAACTGGTCTGGTCCGGTCTGACAAATGTCTGATATTTGTATATTTTATAACTGTCCAAATCGGTTCTGCTATGGTTTGGCCTGAACTGGTCTGGTCTGAATTGATCTGGTCTAGTTTGGTCTTGAATTGAAAATAGTCCAGTAAAAACATCCTTATCCTTATGATTAGACGGGCTTAATGCAGTTATTACTTAACAAATAGATCCGTCGAACTTTAACCATATCAAATCTAGCCGAAAACCTTGTCATCGTATAACATTAACCAATAACAAAATGATAACATTAAGAGTTCATAATTAACAAATTAAAATTGAGTGAAATGAATTTAACTAAGATAAATTGATGGAGAAGATGAATTCCTCCTCCTCCTCCCCCTCCCCTCCCCCTCCCCCCTCCCCCCCCCCTCCTCCTCCTCCTTCTTCTCCTTCTTCTTCGTCGTCTTCTCCTCCTTTTTCGTCGTCTTCTTCGTCACCTTCTTCGTCTTCTTCTTCTTCTTCGTCTTTGTCTCCTCCTCCTCCCCCTCCTCCTTCTTCTTCTTCTTCTCCTTCTTCTTCGTCGTCGTCTTCTCCTTCTTCGTCGTCGTCTTCTTCTTCTTCTTCTTCTTCTTCTTCGTCTTCATCATCTTCATCTTCGTCTTCGTCTCCTCCTCCTCCTCCCCCTCCTCCCCCTCCTCCTCCTCCTCCTCCTCCTCCCCCTCCTCCTCTTCCTCCTCCTCCTCCTCCTCCTCCTCCTCCTCCTCCTCCTTCTATCTAATGAAATTTGGGTTTGCGAGCATATGGGTTTGCCGTCCTCCGGCGCTCACCACCATCCAACCGCACTAGGGTCGACAAGAACCCTAGGTAAGTTGAAGATGATCGAAAACAATGTGCATTGAATTTTAGGGCAATGAGTAGTAAACGCGATGAGTAATTCGTATTTAATGTAGTGAATATGAAAAAATGCAATGATTGTGACAAGAAATGGAATAATGTAGAGCATTAATATTGATATAAAGTGGTCTTTTTTTTTTTAAGAAAAAGGCATTTATTAAATTCATAAAATCAAACATTCCAACATATCACTAAATTAAGTCTCCATCTAGATTTTGTATAGCCAACAAGCCCCCTCACTTTCTCATGAGACACTGAATAGACCATGCCCAAATGAGAGAGCCTAATCACTAAACATGCGAGAGCTTTGAAGCTATTATTGGCTAGACTAGCCTGATTGATTCCACTCTTTCTCACAACAAAAGCACCCACAACTCACAATTATTCACTGAATAAAAAAGTACGACATAGCAAAAAATAAAACTCAAACAAAAATTAGAGCACAAGAGTGCATGTGAACAAATCCAACCATGTAACGTCGACCTTCGATCCTTGGTTCTGTGTTCGCTCCAAGGTGGAGGTTCAGGAGGGGGGTGAGCTTTCAATACTTCTTCTTCCTTGCTCATCTCGTCATCCCTTTTTATCCCCGGTCTCTTTCTGTCTCTTAAATCGCCGTTCACCATGATCGGACCAGGTCTGCACCTGTTTTTGCATACCGGGGATTGCATCTCACCCACGACACAGTGAAGCCTGCAATTAAAGTCTTCGCTGCCTTACTATAATGTTGCGCCTATTGCTAGCGTGCACAAGAGGAGCCAAATAAATTGCCAAACTATGTGACAAAGCCACTGCCGGAACAAAACGAACCCTACGAAAACCTAGGAACCCTAGGGCAATTTGCCCTAGGGTTTGGGCGCCGCATAGTATGTTGACGAAATTAGTTTTTGGATATTCTTAATTGGCAGATGAGTAGTAGGCTGATGATGGACGAAGAGGTTGGCGATGACCTGATTTCGGCTAGCAAAGGAAGATTGATCGGAACTCAAGACAAGAGTGTTTCATCCATGGGGTGAACCACCGCCATAAAAGTGAACTTGTATCTAAGAGAGTTTGGAAAAAGAAGATTCGAGCTTGATTTTTTTATTTCAAATTTTATCTTTCTTTTGTTTGTCAATTTGTCTGGTTCTTGGATTGTTTGTGTTCGTTGTAGTTTTGAGATATGTAATTTAGTCATGATAAAGGGTAATTGCCTTGAAACTCCCATACGTTCAGCAAAAAGATTCACTTGGTTTTGGGTAAACTTTTATATGTCTGTTCAGGGACGACGAGGATCCTTTGATTCTTATGAGTATAGTGAAGTGGTGAAGAGTACGGTTACCCTTAAGGTCTATAAGAACTCTGTTTTGCCACTTCGGTGGTCAGCGATTTGTGCTGCTTCTTCAAAGGTGGCCGTATCAGAATTTGATCATAGGTCATTTCCTTTAAAAAAAATCCTTATTACATTAGAGTTTGAAAAAGAGAGCGAAAGATAGAAAAATAAGACCATTTTAACATGAAAAATACTAGAAATACAAACACACTTACAAAAAACTTACAAACAAATGATGTGACTGTTATAAGGGAAAATTAATAAAAATACCCCAAACTTTGAATGGGTGTGAGGTAAACACCCCTAACTTGCATATGAAATTTAAATACTCTAAACTTTAAATAAAAAGTTGTTTTTGCACCATTGTCATGTATTCCTTCTTTCAAAAATGTAAATTTATGCGGTTAATTGCATAATTTAAAATAGAAAATTAAAAATGTTGCAATTATATTGTAACACCGTCCCCAAATATATTTACTTTTATGTAAATAATGTATTGAACCTTATCAAAGGATTAATGAATTTACGAAGTTGTAAATTTTTATTATTTCTTTCGCGTGAATAGTAAATTGCACGTGGGACCCACACCGGGAGCGGGGGCCGCCCGATATTCCCGAGATCACATAAATTATTCTTATGGGTCGAAATAATATTTATATGGTGGTGGACATCTTATTTGGGCCATGGGAAGGCCTGGGGTTGACCGATTGGTCAAAAGAAGCCCAATTACCGATACCGACAATTAAACAGATAACAGCCCGAAAATGAATTTCGGAGACTTCCAAATTAAGGTTTTGGAATATATATTATTTCAAAGGGGCGTTATGATGGGGAACACATAATATATTTTATTTTACCCGATAAAATAAATTATGATTAAAACAGTCGAAAAATACAACTTTCAGGACCGGTTGTACACTTCGGGACAAAAGGGGTTGACCTCCCACATGAGTGGGGGCCAACCCACGTTTTTTGCCACTCAAATGGAGGGCTTGGCCGGCTGGAGTGATAGAGAGGCATGGGAGAGGTGTGTGTGAAGTGAAATAAAAGGCATCAAACAAAAGGGAGTGGACCCCCCATGTACACTCATTGATCAATGAGACAAAGGGCAACCCCTATCCCCCTCTCCCCATCATTCTCGGCCAGACTTCATCCAGAAAGAGCAAGAGAGCTTCCCACCTTCCTTCTCCATTGTTGAAGAGAGCTCATCAAGGAAGAATCACCCAAAAAGGAGCTAAAGTGCTAAAAGTGTGAAATAATTAAGGTAATGACCTTATTATAACTTTTTCTTTATTTTTCTTCTACCATATGAGATATATATCATGTGAAGAATCCTTAAGAGGATTCTACATGTTATAAGTATGGATTAATGGGTTGGAAAGTGATTCTATGTCCAAGAACGGACTTAGAAGCCAAAACGACCGGTTCACCGGAAAATAACCGTTTTGAGGTTATTTGTATTCATATGGGTTTTATGATTATAATACCTTGTTAGGAACTTGTGAAGGGTATTTCAAGTGATTTCACAAAGTTGGAAAAACCGCCGGAGTTGTCGCCGGAGTTGACCAAAAGTCGTCGGAGTTTCACCGGAGTTCAACCAAGAAGGGTAGAACTTCATAACGCTAATTCAAGGTGAGTGGACGGCTTAATATCTTATAACTTGTGGGTTAATTATGAGATTACCTAAATAAATGTTATATGAGTTCATAATGATGTTTAAAAGATATTTAAACATGTGATTAGCC